TACCTGTGTAGTCCAAGACCCCATTGTAGAGACCAGGACCATAGCTCGCTATCCAGAGATGAAGTGGGACCCTCAGTGTGGTCTCGCTGAAGAATTCACGTTATTTCAACAGCGAATGGAACTTTGCCTTCTCGATAATGAGATAACTGATACTACAAAACAGGCAACAAAAATAAAGATAGCTCTTGAGAACGAAGGGTTACGCAGGATAAACGCCTCTAGCCTCAGTGTAGAGGATCAGAAGGACCCAGGCAAGCTATGGGCCCTAATCGAAGGCCAACTGAATGTCAAAGTGAACTTCAGGATTCATCGTCTCGAATTAATGCGATACAAGCAGATGTCTGGAGAAACGATCGACGAGTTCGTCAATAGATGTCGGAGTAAGGCAAAGGAATGCAAATTCACCGAGGGGGAATTGAGTGAAAGACTCATAGAGCTGGTGATTTCGTCTACACAACTCGAGTCATTTCAGAAAGACCTACTCGACAAAGAAAAGGGGTTCTCAATTGATAAGCTTCTCGAAGAAGGCCGCAAATATGAGGCCATTCAAGTCGGTAAACAGTGCCTGCAGACGCTCCACACCATTGGAAGTGGGAACATTGATGCTGTTAGTCACGACAGTAGGCAGAAATGCAGGAACTGTGGTCTTTCACACCTTCCAAAGAGGTGTCCAGCCTTCGGGGACCTGTGCAATTCGTGTGGCGTCAAAGGACACTGGGCGAAGATGTGTCGAAAGACGAAAGAACAGGTCAAACCGAAGATCCCTCCTAGACGTCCACCATCACAAGACAGGTGGAGCTCACAGCAGAGACAGCCCAGAAACAGGCAGTATAGGCCTACATCCTTTCATAGCAGGAACCAGCGTAAGGTTGACGAAATTGGACCGGACGACACAAACCAACCGGACAGTGGGGAACGTGAATTCCACATGATACATATATCGCTAAACTCTATTGACTCGGAGGAGACCGAAGCATATGCGAGTATCAACATCATATGTCCAGACCTGAGGGGTCATCATCGCCTCAATGCAAAGGTTGACACAGGAGCCAGCGGTAATGTTCTGCCACTGCGGACGCTGAAGGACATGTACAGGGCTCGATGGAAAGATGTTATCCGTCCCACTACTACGCGACTATCTGCCTACGGAGAAACGCCTTTACGCTGCTTAGGCACCTTGATGATGTCGATGATGTATGAAGGGTCGCCTTGGGTCGTAGACCAAACATGGTATGTTGCGGACGTAAAGGGACCAGTCATTGTCGGACTTCCTACTTCCAGAAAGCTAGGGATTGTTACGATTCACACAGTAGAACAACAGATGGGCCTGGACAGTCCAAATGATCTTCCTCCCATCAGGTCAGCTAAAGACCTACAGGCGGCTTACCCAGACCAGTTTGACCAGATTGGGAACTTCAGTGGCAAGGCAACGTTGCACTTGAAGAAGGATGCAACTCCATCAATTGATGCGCCTCGAAAATGCAGCATCCACCTGAGGGACAAGCTCAAGAAAGAGCTGGATCAGATGGAAAGTAACGGCATCATTAGGAAAGTTACTCATCACACAGATTGGTGCAGTTCCCTCACCACAGCCCTGAAGAAGGATGGGTCATTGCGAGTCTGCCTTGACCCCAAAAGGCTCAATCAAAACCTGAAAAGATGCCCTCACAAGATTCCAACTCTAGAGGAGCTCAATCCTGCATTCTCACAGGCCAAGTACTTCTCGAAATTGGACGCAAAGGCAGGATATTGGTCAGTCTACCTGGACGAAGAATCGCAGGAGCTTACTACATTCAGATCACCATTTGGAAGGTATTGCTTTCGCAGACTTCCATTTGGACTTTCGGTGAGTCAAGACATCTTTCAACAAAGGATGGACACAATCCTTGCACAGGCGCCAGGCTGTGAAGGTATAGCTGACGACATAGCTGTATTTGGCAAGACTGAACAGGAGCATGATGATAATCTCTGGAGACTGATGGGAGTTGCACAAAAAGAAGGTCTGGTGTTCAACAGTACAAAGTGTGTGATCAAGGCGAGAAGCATCAATTTCTTTGGTTCACTGTACACAGACAAAGGCATACAACCAGATCCTAGCAAGTTGGAGGATGTCAGAGAAATGCCTACACCACAGAACAAGGACGATCTTCAGCGAGTGTTAGGGATGATGACCTATTTATCACCATACATCTCAAACTATGCTGAAAAGTCAGCAATACTGCGTGATCTTCTGAGGAAAGATGTTCCCTTTACCTGGCAGGAGGACCATGAGGAATGCTTTCAACGATTGAAATCAGAAATTTCAGAAGGAAAGTGTCTACGGTACTATAACCCCAGTGTCCCAACAGTACTAGAGGTAGATGCATCGCTCAAAGGACTTGGAGCCTGCCTCCTTCAGAATGAAAGACCAGTCGCATTCGCCTCAAAGAGTTTGTCAGATGCACAATCAAACTACTCAAACATCGAGCGAGAGACATTGGCACTTGTTTTTGGGATCCCACGTTTCCATTCATATCTGTTTGGTAACCAGTTCACAGTCTACACTGACCACAAACCACTCGAAACGATCTGTAGAAAGCCCCTGGGGAGTGCGCCTCCAAGATTACAGAGGCTTCTCGTCAAAATACAGGGCTATGATTGTGATATCCTATACAAGCCCGGAAGTCAGATGACATTACCAGACACACTCAGTAGGTTGCCAAACCCCAGAAAAAGAGGAGACGTCATCGTTGAGCTCCATGTAGATGAAGTCATGGAATTAGAAGAGAATCATGACAATGATCTGGCAAGCTTCACACCTATGAAGCAGACACAGCTGCAGAGAGAGACAGCAAGCGATCCAAACTTGAAGCAGCTGAGTAGAATTATTCACGATGGATGGCCAGACGTGATTAAGCAGGTTCCAAGCAGCTCAAGGATTCACTGGTCGTACCGAGAGGAACTGGGTGTCGCCAACGGCATTATCTTCAAAGGAAGACAGGTGTTGATACTTTCAACGCTGCAATCAGACATCCTGGAGCAGCTACACACGAGTCATATGGGTATAGAGAGAACTCGTAGACTAGCAAGGGACACGGTATACTGGCCAGGCATCAATAAGGATATTGAAAACCTTGTCAAGACTTGCCCTGCTTGCCAGGAGAACCAGGATCGGCAACAAAGGGAACCACTACAACCGCACGAAGTTCCAATGACGCCATGGACAAAGGTAGCCACAGACCTGTTTTTTCTTGATGGAACTGAATACTTACTCATTACTGACTATCATTCCAAGTTCCCTGTGATCAGGAAAATGCACAGCACCACAAGTGCTTCAGTTGCTACCGTAATGAAAGAAACCTTCAGCCTCCTGGGAGTGCCCTCCGAAGTTATATCTGATAACGGACCCCAGTTCATTGGAAAAGCTTTCAAAGACATGTGTGAGTCATGGAACATCAAGCACACCACCTCATCGCCGAGATATCCGCGCTCCAATGGCCTAGCTGAGCGGATGGTACGCACCATAAAGTCGATGATTAAGAAGTGCAAACAGACAGGACAAGATGTCCAAAAGGCACTTCTCCACCTTCGAGCAACGCCTCAATCGGACCTGCCATCTCCTGCCGAAATGATGTTTGGGAGGCAAATGAAGACAACCCTTCCAGGTCGCCATGATCATGACAGACAGATGAGCGATGTCCACGACCAGCTCCAGCGAAGGCGGGATGTGATGAAGACCGACCATGACAGACATGCCGGTCGGGTACTGTCCCTCCTGAAGGTCGGCCAGAAAGTCAGAACTTTGCATCCAGACGACAATACATGGCTGCCGGCTGAGGTTTCAAGAGTTTGCCCAGAACCAAGATCATATGAAGTGACAACACCAAATGGCAGGGTGTTAAGGAGAAACAGGTCCCATCTTAGAGAGACGCCGATACAAATAGAGACGGCAACAGCACCCCCACCAGGGACAGAGCATCTTCCAAGAGAGGATGGTGACAACCGCACAACACCCGCAGGAACACAGGATTTCGATGGTTCAATCCCTCGTTCTGATTCTTTTGCCTATGTCACACGATATGGTCGCAAGGTTAATCCCCCATCTCGTTATCAAGAATAAAAACTTCATCGATTAATAGATTGATAAACAACAACTATACTTTATTTGTTTAATGATTTAGCATATCCGGTAGAATTACATTGATGATAGTAAAACCTCATATTTGACATAAGGTGATTCAATTTCTTAATCAGTATACATGTATAACCAAAGTGTTTTATATAACTGCCACGCTTAATATTGGTTATCTTTCAACAGAAAATCTCTTTTGTATACAGAACCGAATTTAGCAATTGTATGCCGTGCTCGTGCATGATATTTCAACTCTCCACACAAATACCAGGAATTATAGTTTTGTTACGCAGATTTGTCGTATTGCTAAGTCCTAATTAAAATGGGATGAAAAACGTTTTTCGAAGGAAAATGTTGTTTATAACTGTTTGTCAGAAAGCAATATGGAATCACTTTAGTTTATTCCAGCAAAAGTTATGTAAAGTATAAAAAGTTGAATTACATTATACAAATATGTCGATTCAGCAACAAAATATGCCTGTTATAGTGGAGGACACTATTTTACCATTCTAAAATTTGCTTTTCTTGTTGAAAGGTACTTGTAAGTTTTAGTTGAACAGTTTTTAGTACTGTGCTTCTCGAAAAAAAAAGAATATGTTTGGAATGTTTCCTCCTGTTGAAATTTCTAAATTGTGTTACTGTTTTAGTGGATAATTTCCGTCATGCACAGTGCATATTGAGCAGGGAAGATACAACTGGTTAAGGAGAGCACTATCAACTTGTCATTGAAAGAAGGGGGATGTTGTGGTACTATATGAACAACACCAATAGTTCATTGATGTGCGTAATGAGGCCGCGATTGGCGGAAGGATATGGGAATAAAGCACTTTCAAGATGGCCACTTATACATGAACCTTGTCTACAGTGATCTCTTATTTATCCGTTCATCTGATCTTTCAACAGTGTGGTCTTGCCTTGTTATCAGGCGAATTTTGCTGAATGGGTCTTAGACGTTTCTGATTAGCTTTGGTACCTTCTGGAGACAGCCTTGGTTGATTCCCAGACATTTCAAGGGGTGTGTTTTGGGGTAAATTCTCAATTCTCAATTTGCCCGTTTCATTTGATGTATCTGTTTCGGTTGATGGTGATGTGTCAAGGTTTGAAGTTGAACGGCTTTGTGTGATTGTCATTCCAGATGTGAGAGTGCTCGGTTCATTCGAAACAAACTCTGATGAGCTCATTTCCACGTTGACATTGTCTATGCCACGCGCCTGGGGTTCTCCTGCTATTTTGAGCTGGTTCATCTTTTTACTTTGTCTCGATACGAAAATATAGATCCGAACGTAGATAACAACGGTGACAATGAACACAGGGATGATGGCACATGCCCCGGCTGTAAGGCTATATAAGAATGAGGTTGGAATTGAATTATCCTGCCCGCATGCTTTGAACTTGTGAGAATATCCCAGTCTTCCCAAGCCAGCAAAGTGAGGTACCAGGACCAAAAGAGCTGGGTACATCCAAGCGCTAAGCAGCATAAAGCATATGTTTCTAGTTGTGTAGAGTTTCTGGAATTGAGTCCCTGATTTTGTCAGCAGGTACCAGCGGTTAAATGCAATGAAAGCCAACGTCGTGACACTGGCACCCAGACAGACCCACATCACGGCCGAATTGGCTGCGCAGATCCATCCGGGCAAAGGCCATCCGTCACTTACAGAGGCGACAACATTAAACGGAAGACAGAGACATGTGAGAAGGTCGGAACAGCCCAGGTTGACGATGAACCAGTTGGTGGATGAGCGGAGTTTACGGGAAAGGACTACGGCGGTGATGACGAGTGTGTTGCCGATGGATCCCACAAGGAAGACGATACAGAGGATAACGGCTATAGCAATTCGCTGGTTGTAATCTTCAAACACAAAGAGATCTGTATCGCTACTCCTGTTAGTGATTATGGCCATGGTTGTTGGGATGATATTACCTTCCATAATTATCTCGTCTTACGTCGTCGGCTCGTCTTCTGAAAAATAGAAATACAAATCATGAAGAGAAGAAGTAGATTACATCAGTTTAAACACATGCTACTGTCCGTTGCATATGCGGCGTCCATTGACTGACGTTTAGGACTGCGTCTGTGATTATTACTGTCCTTTATGACGTGCAATGTGGGGATGATAAAAAGTGATCGTAAAATGAAAAGGGCATCCATCGATACAAAATGCTAGTTTATGCACAAATTGCCATCAATGGTCTAATTAATATAGCCTATATATATATATATATTACGCAATCAAAATGACGCCCGTGTCCAAAGCATATGGCATAACATGTACCACATACACGTAGCCTCTATCGGATGAAATGGACGGCATTAGGTATATCCTTTCAATTACCGAAAAACAATACCCATTTTGTCAAGATTCCTGTTAACCCTCATGCATGAATGGACAACTTCATGAGCATTTGATGATTAGAATGACGATCATAGTCATAATGTTCCAAATGCTGATGGTGCAATATCTCTTGACAGATAGCAACCAAACTGTCCATATTTCCAATAGGAAAAAGAAGCATTCCAGAATCAAATGTAAACGTGAAAATAATGTAAACTTACATGATAATGAGGATTAGCAGGATGCACTACAAAGGTTTTCAGACTGAGTGCCTCAAAGACCTTATTGTATAATAGTATTAATTATGAAGTACACCGACTGCCATAAAAGACTTCCTGTACCCTGTTTGCCATCATCAGAGTGTGATTAAAGAAGCATGGCAGCAAATGTGATATAGAAAGGGAGAGAGAGAGAGAGAAGGAGAGAGAGAAAAATATATATGGAAATATACTTTTGTCCACGCATTAAAATGGAAAACCTGTCATGACAAATGTTGGCAAAAGATAACAAATGATTCATTGAACCGATCGGTTTAACAAATAAGTTATTCTTTTGTAGCGCGGCACAGTTTTTGTATAGGCTGAGCGATGGATACCCTCGCACGAATCAATGCTGGGAAATATTTTGAGAATCAACTCTTGACAAGGTCGGGGTATATGGAATTAAAGTGACTCGGTAACATTGTTGAAGGTTGATGGAAAAAATGCGTCATTTTTGTATCAAATGTTACTTATTATATTCCTTCTACTGTACTAATCCCCTGACATGCACAATTTCCTGAAAAATTCTCAAACCACAAAGATATTTATAGTTTTCTTTGAAGACTTCACTGTGCGACATCCTCTAAACAGTTAATTCTCCCAACTATTTTTGAATTTAACCAACCGTTTTTCTATGAGAAGAAGACATAAGACAAGTTGTAAACAAAATGTGAACACTTAAATGTCTGGAAAGGTATATAGAGCCAATTTTTTGCTATTTGTGACGATTTACATTCACCTAAAATGTAATTAAATTGTTATAATATAGTTGGGAGAATTAACGAATCGATCGGATCAGTTTTTCCCGATTTTTATCATTAATAAGGGTCTGTTTTCACTCAAACTTGCAGACTATCTTTAATTGTACATCTAACATTGAAGTTACTACCTTAGCACCATTTTATCTCATCTGAACAATGTTACCAAGTCCCTTTAACAAAATGTTCCAGATAGTAGGGAACCTGGGAAATATTACCACGATCAAACTATATTCTTACGCCCAGGTGAGTTGTTTGCTTTGTGTGTTATTTCTGCAATTAGTTTCAGTTGAGTTCTTCCTTAGGAAGCACCTATACACGACGAAATGATACACAAATTAAAAGAGTATTCGATGTGTGTCTTTAAACAAATGAAAAAAGGAATATCTTTACAATAATTATCAAAAACAAAAGTTATTTTCGATGGCTATTGCCAACTCTTTTTGAAAGAGTTTGTTGTTATGAGATATGAAACTGGGTCATGCATATCTGCATATTACGTTTAGGCCTACAATGTACATGTATCATTGTAAACGTTTACATATTCTTGCATTCTAGTAACAGTCTCTGATATTAAAAGCAAATCGAAAATCGAAAAAAGTGTACTTCGTCTAATGAGATCTTATGAATCTGCTAAAAAACGAACTGAATAATCCTTCCAAAAGGTTTAAATCTTATAGCATGTAAAATGAACGATATATAATATATCAGTGGCACGTCCAGAAACAGAAAGACTCGAACAGGGCCCTGGGAACGATTTTTTCACCGGGAGTGCTGAGATATATGTACGTATATATACAAAGTGAGTCAGAAATAATGTCCCACTTTTTAAAATTTGTATTGTTTGAAGTATGAATATTTAGTCATGGTTTTCATGATATGTTTTGATAGAGTTATCCTTCCAGTACATTTAGGTACCACTTTCATTTGAATCTGTGCATGCATGACTGAACACCAGACAATCTTTACAATCTCACTTGGGCCAAGTTGTACATACAATATCAATGTTTAATCATAGTAATTTACAAATGCACTAATATCGATCCCCCTCGCCTCATCACCCCCTCCCGCCACACTCTCGATACTGCCAACCCTTCCCGCTACCCCCTTCGAAGTCCTCCTGGGTATATTACAAAGGACAATCATAAATTGGTATTAATATTATCTAAAAAGAAATTTCTCTGATATAACATTTCAAAGTGATTATTATTTCTTTATTAAATATAGCCAAACTTCTTGATTGTTGAGTGTGCTGCATAGATAATTCGTTATACAATTTACTTCCGCGATACAGAAACGTACGCTTACAATTCTGTGTTTTCGCTCTAGGCAAAATTAAATTTTCTAAGGGCATAGTTTGTAGTCTATACTGGTGCCAAATACATATCGTAAACATAATCCTACTCTTTTACCGATTCTATACGTTCTAAAGTGTATAAATATACATTGGAATAGTACACACTTATGTACTTGCAAAACTCATCAATTCATTAATTTTTATACTGTTTAATAACATATACCGGCGATTTATTGTGTGTTAACACACTCATCCAATTCTCCGGATGCAAATTCACATCCAACGCATATTTATCAGCTCATTAAAAGATTTGCTATACGCTACGCGGCCGATCATCGAAATTCGGACTGTGAAAAAACAATCCCACCCTCCATTCATATAACAAGTACAAGTAGATCGGAATTAAATCGGGAATTTTGACGACGATCCCGTCTTCTGATCAAAAATCTAATATTACCACAGAGTATAGGGATCGGTAGATGGATCGATACATTCAAAACAACAACGGCAAATATTACCTAATCGAATCAAATTCAATTGATTTCCTTGAGCAACACTAGGTTGACGTCAAAGCATTTTAACAGCAAACGTGATACATAAAATCGCATCTCCAATTCATACCCTATCAGAACTAAAAGAAAATTTTTTTTTTTATGAGCGACAGTGTATCAGCAACACAAAACAAGTAAAAACAAAAAATATGCGCGCACAAAATTTTGAAAAGTTACATTATGTCTGAAACGTGTATTTAATTTGCACAATAAACATTTTGACCAATTTTAAAGTTATACGCGTGCACGGACATTGGTGTGACCAAAAGTTTACCTTTGATAACAAGCGTATGTATATCAAATACTATTTAGAAATGATAAATATGAGGGAATTATGGTCAATAATAGAAATAAACAAAATGGCGCCTAGATGACGGCACGCATCAGTAATCAAGAATAATCTCTTCGTTAGGATAACAAATCATGCATATATGGCACATGTCATGCAAGTGTTAATAGTCATCAGATATGAAAAAAACATACAGAAAGAATGACGGGGGAAACGATAGATCCTGACAAAAGCAAAAGACGCTACCCCGCAGATGGAATGATACGTCGTCGTCAACCGTGAGAATATGGACTTTTAGATTTGCAAAACGACAACGTGGATTGCTACGATCGACGTCCTTTTAATCCACTGCCTTGAATGGACGTCACACGTATCAGTCCACGCAAATCTAAAAGTCCCTAACGTTAACTTTAATCTCTCTCTGCTAATTACTGTGAACATGGCATTAACCGAGTGCAATCAACTTTTAAACGAATATGTCATGAGTCCTGAAATATTAATTTGATCTGCTTGTCATAGTAGTATTAAATCTTTTCCTCTCAAATTGTAATCTTTCCGTCAATTAAAGTTCTTTACTATTCAGTACTTATAATAAGTAGTTCTGTAAAAATATTTTATTTTATGTATTTAATGAAGGGTTATAATCATCTTTACAGCTTTTGCAAGAGGCATTTATCCTGCAAATTCAAGCCTTACTGTGTGATGTTACCAAAGTTTGTATGTCCAAATTCGTTGTTGTAGTGATCTCTTAATTATTTGAACCCACATGTTTTCGTTTTATTAGTCACATACTTTTATTTTCTTCTTGTTTAAATGCTTCTGAACTGTCTTGTTCTCATTTTGTAACACTTTGTTAAATGTATGCAGGGCTGTATTATCTCTTTGGGTCATGGGGATAATTTCATTAACGAAAGCGACGGATGCATGCGATTGGCTCAGTGATGTCCTTGAGCCGACAGCGAATGATGGCTAGCATCACCTTGCGGAACTCTGGCATTGTCCTGGCGTAAATCAGAGGGTTGACGCAACTGTTGAAGGTCACCATCAGGCCTGTCCAGGGGATGCCCGGATCGCTTGAATAAATGAGAACGCTTACACCGAACGGGAGCAGGCAGATGATGAATGCTAGCACCACAACGGCAAGTCTTTCCGTAACCGTGACGTTGTACTTGGTCAGGTATGGTCTTGCCTTGTCATCAGGCAAATTATGCTTGATCGATCTTGAACGCTTCTGATTAGCTTTGGTTCCTTCTGGAGACCGCCTTGACCGATTCTCAGAAATGTCAAGGGGTGTGTTATTTGGTAAATTTTCAATGGCTATCAATTTGCCCTCTCCGTTTGATGTGGATGTGTCAAGGTTTGAAGTTGAACGGCTTTGTGTGATTGTCATTTCAGATGTGAGAGTGCTCGGTTCATTCGAAACAAACTCTGATGAGCTCATTTCCACGTTGACATTGTCTATGCCACGTGCTTGTGCTCCTGCTTTTTTGAGCTGGATCATCTTTTTACTTTGTCGCGAAACGAAAAGATAGATCCGAACGTAGATAACAACGGTGACAATGAACACAGGGATGACAGCGCATGCCCCAGCTGTAAGGCTATATAAGAATGCCGTTGGAATTGAATTATCCTGCGCGCATGCCTTGTACTTGTAAGAATATCCCAATCGGCCCAAACCAGCAAAGTGAGGTACCAGGACCAAAGTAGCTGGGTACATCCAAGCGCTAAGCAGCATGAAGCATATGTTTCTAGTTGTGTAGAGTTTCTGGAACTGTATCCCTGATTTTGTCAGTAGGTACCAGCGGTTATAGGCAATGAGGGCCAGCGTCATGATACTGGAACCCAGACAGATCCATGTCACGGCTGAATTGACCGAACAGATCCAACCGGGTAAAGGCCATCCGTCACGGCTTAGCAAGGCAACAACATTAAACGGGAGACAGAGGCATGTAAGAAGGTCGGAACAGCCCAAGTTGACGATGAACCAGTTGGTGGTTGAGCGGAGTTTACGGGAAAGGACTACGGCGGTGATGACGAGTGTGTTGCCGATGGATCCCACAAGGAAGACGATACAGACGATAACGGCTATAGCAATGCGCTGGTTGTAATCTTCAAACACAAAGACTTCTGTATCGCTACTCCTGTTAGTGATTTTGGCCATGGTTGTTTGGATAATATTATTATCATCCATAATTATCTTGCCTTTCGTCGTCGATTCGTCTTCTGAAAATAGACATTAACAAAAATAATCATAGAGAAGTAGATTACATTACTTTTAAACACCTCCTACTGTCCGTTGCATACGCGGCGTCATTTGGCTGACGTATAGGACTGTGTCAGACAGTGGTTAGTGCGGTCCTTGATGACGCACCATGATAAAAAGTGATTGTAAAATGAAAAAGGTAACTATTGATTCGAAATACTTGTCTGATAGTATGCACAAATTGCCTTCAAGGTACTATGTCCCACTTGCAGGCCTATAAATGAAAAAAAAATTGATGGCATTTGAAATGGCCGCGAAAATATTCAATCAGCTTAATTTGGCCATTAGAAGAAGTGGTTTATTAATGTAAACAAATTCTCATGTACCTTTTATAGCTCATTTCATGTATGTTACTACCAAAGAAGAAAAAAAGTCAGTCAGTCACTCAATAGTGTCTGACAGTGAAGTCTAGAAAGTGAACGGATTTCCTAGCATTATATAAATACTGCTTACGTTTAATTTCACAGATAGGACATACATGACATATCCATAACTCCTGCAAAATCCTTCAAAATTTCATGTTGGCTGCAAAAGGGATTCACTACATAATATACAGTGCGTTAGTGCGTATAACAAAAATTGTACCCAACTTTGGTAACTTCTAATTATGAAGTCATACCTATATGACCTTGAATCATTATTGGATCGTGAGTAGGGTCTATTATGATCATGCCCATGTCTTAGATCTAAATACTTTTGTTTCACTTCAAATGATTATGTTGTATTTAATATGAATGAATGAAAATACAAGCAGACTTTGGATTGATTGACGATTTCTTTCTTGTGATAATATACGCTTCAACATTATTAACATATTCATGAATTCTATACATGATACATGTAATATAAACTTGAGTATATTTGTTACTAAGGAAGAGGAAATGGTAGAAAATAAATGTTAAGTTGAGGTGAATGGAATGTAATTTATTATCATGGAATTAACTGAAGTTATTGGTGAGTTAATAAACTCTTGACAGATAGCAGCCAACCTATTCACATTTCGAACAGGACGAAATACATCCTAGAATGTATGTATTCATGAATTGTATACATTTTCATAAATGTAAGTATTTGTTAACAAGGAAGAGGAAATTGACGAAAATAAGTGTTAAAGGCACCCTCAACCCCCCAAAATAACTTTACTTATTCTGGGAGATTTATTTTAATCTACAAAATTCACCATCAAGTGTTTATGAGAGAGGCTTAAACAAAGAATAATGTACAGTATCTCAGCACGACAAGGGCATCGCAATTTTCCTGATAACGTGACGCACTATGTGAATTCGTTTATTTTTTTTGATAAATGTATTCAAATTAATGGATGAAGAATTTCATTCACCTGCTATTATCCTCTGTACTTCTATTTCCAGAACGTAAATTGGATAAATAAGCTGGCATCTTCTGGGATAAAGGTTTTTCATAAATGTAGTAGATTTGTCAACAGCTATATTTTAGTATTTAAAATGATTTAGTTACTATTGTCCCGCGTTATGAATTCTTTTTACCAAATATAATTTGTATCATCTCACCTACGACTTTTCCTCATTGAAAAGCAAAGGTTTTATTATTGATTTAAACAGTCTTTCCAACTAAAGCTTGGTACATGATGCATTTACAACTCCAACTGGTACGTCACATTTCCAAGGAAATGGCTGCGCACCTCAAATGCCAAAGGCATCACATCATGCCAAGAATATCTTCATTTATATATATCCTGTACATTTTCGTAAGAAATATTGTAAAGCAAAGAGCAGGACTACATCTCATTTTTCAGAATACCTACTTTTAGTCTTTGGGGTGAGATTTCCTTTAAGTTTAATTGAGTGGAAAGGAATTTTACAGAACTTGTTGGTGAATTCATATACTCTTGACAAATAGCAGCTAACCTATTCGCATTTCAAACATGGAAAAGAAGCATTCCAGAATCAAATGTATATAATTATGAAAATAAAATAATAAATACTTACATGATATGAAGATTAGCAGGATGCACTACGATGTTTTACAGACGTAATAGCTTAAACACCTTACAATAGTATTAATTATGAAGTACACCGACTGACACCAACTAAACTTCCTGTATGCTGTTTGCCATTATCAGAGTGTGATTATGGGGAGAAAAGGCATGAGAGAAAAAGCATGGGAGCAAAGGTGATCAAGAAGGGGCGAAAGAGAGAAAAAGAGAGAGAGAGGTGGAAACATACTTTTGTCCACATATGAAAAGGGAAAATCTGTCATGACAAAATTAGTCAAAAGAGAAAAAATGATTCATTGAACCGATCGGTTCAACAAAGTAGTTATTCTTTTGAAGCGCGTCACGATTGTTTGTAAACTGAGCGTTGAACACCCACGCACATAATTTATCAATGTTGAGAAATAATATTTACAATTATATTTTCTAGATAGTATAGGAACCTGGGAAATAATACCCCCACAGGGGTGGATCTAGCTTTTTGCTCAGGGGGGGGTTGACCAATAATGACGATGCGGAGCATCGTCCACGAGCCGCGAAGCGGCGAGCCGATTTTTTTGGGTGTTTATTTGAACCCCGTAAGTGATGTTTTCCTGGCATCTATTAACACAATGGAGACCATAAAAAGCAGTGCATGATAACGTCTTTTTAAATCAAGTAACAGTTAAATACACAGGTATATCCAGAGTTATCATGTGTTTGGTTAAGTTACCAGATGAGTTGAATATCTTCTCACAATATTTGCACTTGAAAGGGTTTCTCTCCAGCGTGCGTTCTTTTTTCTTTCTTTTTTTCTTTTTTTTCTTTTCTTTTTTTTTTTCCTTTTTTTTTTTTTTTTTTTTTTTAATGTGGGGATTTTGGGGATGAGAATCGGCAACGCTGGCCTAGCTTGTCACTTCGGCGGTGGCCCGTGTCCTCAAAAAAGCTGATGGGGGGGGGGGGGAAGGGACTCTGTGACATTTGTTCGCCCAACCCCCCCCCCCCCCTCCCCCCAAAAAGAAATAATAATAATAATAATAATAATAATAATAATAATAATAGTAATAATAATAAATGAAATAAATACATAGAAATAGAATAAAATAAAATTACAAGTTTTAAAAAAAAGATAAGATTTAAAAAATGGTCCCCGGATTTTTTTTTCGGGGGGTTGCAACCCCCCCAACCCCCCCTCTAGATCCGCTTCTGCCCCATCAATGTGTAGTTTTACGCCCGGGCGAGTTATTTTGATTGGTATGTTATTTGTTTGTTCCTTTTATCTAGTAGAGTTCCTCTTTCGGGAACACCTTCCCACGACCAAATATACAAACTAAAGGAGTATTCAATGGAGACCAAATGACATGTGAATTAAACAAATAAGAATGAAATATGTTTACAATGATTACGAAAAACAAATTTTCGATGCATATTGTCATCTCTCTATATATAGCTTGTTATCAGATATGAAACGGGGTCATGCCTATATATCTGCTTTACATTTAGGCCTACAATGTACATGTATTATATTTCTTTGTAAACGTTCTAACATTCTTCCATTCTATAATATTATGCAGTCTTTTGTAATTATCAAGAAAAAATACAAAAACGATTAGAGGACTCCTTCTTGCGAAATCTTATGAATCTGCTGAAAAAACATGATAGTCCTTCCAAAAGCTTTTATCATTCCAACATGTCCAGTAATTTAAATGAATGATTTGAATAGAATCTGTCAGTAGCATGTCCAGAAACTGATAAACCCAAGGGGTGGGGGCTATTGATTTCTTCATAATATTAGATAATTTAAACCAAACAATAGGCAGCCGTATTGAGAACAGATGGAGAAGGGTGAAAATGAAACTTGGGATAGACAGACAAACAGAGAAAGAAAACCATTGATGGGACAAAAAATAAAAGCAATAGCAGGCTTAGGAGAGACAGAGAGAGAGAGAGAGAGAGAGAGCGGGTAGGAAGATAGAGTGAGAGGAAGAGAGAGGGACAGAGGGGCCCGCAGAGGCGGTGTAGGAAGAGAGAGAGAGAGAGATAAAGAGAGAGAGAGCGGGTAGGAAGATAGAGTGAGAGGAAGAGAGAGGGACAGAGGGGCCCGCAGAGGTGGTGTAGGAAGAGAGAGAGAGAGAGAGATAAAGAGAGAGAGAGCGGGTAGGAAGATAGAGTGAGAGGAGGAGAGAGGGACAGAGGGGCCCGCAGAGGTGGTGTAGGAAGAGAGAGAGAGAGAGATAAAGAGAGAGAGAGCGGGTAGGAAGATAGAGTGAGAGGAGGAGAGAGGGACAGAGGGGCCCGCAGAGGTGGTGTAGGAAGAGAGAGAGAGAGAGATAAAGAGAGAGAGAGAGCGGGTAGGAAGATAGAGTGAGAGGAAGAGAGAGGGACAGAGGGGCTCGCAGAGGCGGTGTAGGAAGAGAGAGAGAGAGATAAAGAGAGAGAGAGCGGGTAGGAAGATAGAGTGAGAGGAAGAGAGAGGGACAGAGGGGCTCGCAGAGGCGGTGTAGGAAGAGAGAGAGAGAGAGAGATAAAGAGAGAGAGAGCGGGTAGGAAGATAGAGTGAGAGGAAGAGAGAGGGACAGAGGGGCCCGCAGAGGCGGTGTAGGGAGAGAGAGAGAGAGAGCGGGTAGGAAGATAGAGTGAGAGGAGGAGAGAGGGACAGAGGGGCTCGCAGAGGCGGTGTAGGAAGAGAGAGAGAGAGAGAGATAAAGAGAGAGAGAGCGGGTAGGAAGATAGAGTGAGAGGAGGAGAGAGGGACAGAGGGGCCCGCAGAGGTGGTGTAGGAAGAGAGAGAGAGAGAGATAAAGAGAGAGAGAGCGGGTAGGAAGATAGAGTGAGAGGAAGAGAGAGGGACAGAGGGGCTCGCAGAGGCGGTGTAGGAAGAGAGAGAGAGAGAGATAAAGAGAGAGAGAGCGGGTAGGAAGATAGAGTGAGAGGAGGAGAGAGGGACAGAGGGGCCCGCAGAGGTGGTGTAGGAAGAGAGAGAGAGAGAGAGATAAAGAGAGAGAGAGCGGGTAGGAAGATAGAGTGAGAGGAAGAGAGAGGGACAGAGGGGCTCGCAGAGGCGGTGTAGGGAGAGAGAGAGAGAGAGAGAGAGCGGGTAGGAAGATAGAGTGAGAGGAAGAGAGAGGGACAGAGGGGCCCGCAGAGGTGGTGTAGGAAGAGAGAGAGAGAGAGATAAAGAGAGAGAGAGCGGGTAGGAAGATAGAGTGAGAGGAAGAGAGAGGGACAGAGGGGCCCGCAGAGGTGGTGTAGGAAGAGAGAGAGAGAGAGATAAAGAGAGAGAGAGCGGGTAGGAAGATAGAGTGAGAGGAAGAGAGAGGGACAGAGGGGCCCGCAGAGGTGGTGTAGGGAGAGAGAGAGAGAGAGAGAGAGAGAGAGAGACGGACAGAGAGAGCTAGAGGGAGGATTACAGAAAAAGGGGGTATACGTACACTGTGAAACGTAGACAAATTGCGTTAATGGGCCTATTATGCATGAGGATATCTAGACAGGATATGGAAAATGTACGATGGCATTTCCTATAATATTGATTATTAGATATTTTAGGGATTTTAAGGTGGACATGCAGCCTTCGGTTAATCATAGTCCACGTTCAATTTTAAAGACGCCCCCCCCCCCCCCCCCGTGTTTTAGCACATAACTGCTTTAGCACTTTATCGGGTCGTCATCGCTGAACCCGAAAGTATCTCATGACAGCACATCCTTTAAGAACAGCTGGCGCATGCATGCTGCTAAAACTTCAAAGTGCTGGAAACTTTAAAATTTAGTTGGAAACGGAAAAAATAGATTTACAATGCCGACGGATACCAAACGAATTCAAGGGCCAGATGCGTCGCAGAGTACTTTTCTGTATAAGAAAAGGGCCAATACAGTTCAACCAGCGGTAAGTAGAGCCATTTTATCGCCGACTAGATCTGAAGAGCAGGGGTGCTGCTGACGATAACGGAACCTTACCTCTGTGGTGCCCGTGTCCGTCGGTGCAGTTGTCCATCGGGTTGGTGATGAATGCCACTGCACTGCCAGTGAAATGGCAATGTCGATCTCGATGGCATGTGGCTCCAGGCGCGGATCCACGAGCCCAATTCTTTCGGCCCGGCTATGGCAAGCCCATTGTGTAAAAACTAGATAAACTCAGTTTATCAGAAAAACTGTGTTTATCAATGATAAACTGAGTTTACCAACTGATAAACTGAGTTTTTCTGATAAACTGAGTTTATCAACTGATAAACTCCGTTTATCTGATAAACTCTGTTTATCTGTTGATAAACTGAGTTTATCTGAGAAAAACAGAGTTTATCTAGTTTTTACACAAAGGGCTTGCCATAGCCGGGCCGAAAGAATTGGGCTCGTGGATCCGCGCCTGTGTGGCTCTGCCTTTGCCTTTTGCTTTGGGGTCTTTGTCTGTTGTGAAGACCCTCTTAGTCTTAGCAAAGATAATCAGAATAAAGATAGGAAATGTCAAGAAACTAATAGAATTTGGCACTAGTTCAGAAGTCTATCCAAACTTTGACCCATAACTAAAAAGTGTGGTGGTGCAAGAAAACATTTCCGCTGGCCTAGATCTAGACCTATATTTCATTGATAACTCTAGTCTAAGAGAAATGCCACTCCTAATTAACTGCCAGTCATTTCATGCTGTAACTTGTTACTTTATAACCCGTGTCAGACAGCTGAGCAGTGGTTTTACAAAATCATATTATTAGCAGAGCTACCAAGTGTCGAGCATTAGGCGTGACATCACGTATTTCGAGGGTCTGAAAACACTCGCGCAAGACGCGCGTGCTTGATTTCGAAAAAACGCTATACCTTAAACGTGTGTTATACCCTCGCACGCACACTCGCGGGCCGAATCATGAAAATGTTAGCATTGCCGATCTTTGAACTTGGCGTCTCTGTATTAGATCTAGTCCTAAAAGCTAAGCAGTAAATATTATACCGTATACCCTCTCATGAAAAAGCCTAGATCTATGGACTTTACGTGTTAAAAAGCAGGAAATATAAGACCATATTAACTGCACCGTATTTTGTCATTTTCATTGCGCATCTATTATGTGTACGAGAACCTGCGCACTTTGCGCGGAATCTATTGTGACGTAATAATAATCACACCAAAGGCACACTGTTTGCAGTGTATCAAAAATTTTGTCAAGCACTGGATGCATAGTGCTGGTTTGTTCAGTTCTTTGAGAATGTCATGGTTGATTTATGTATTTGCTCTAGATGTCTGATTTTGATAACAATAACAATATTGCTTGGCTTAACTTTCGGGAGATGCCACATATATTGCCCTCACAAGACCCATATTGCCCTCGTCTTTGACTCGGGGCTATATGAGTCTAGTTTGGGAAATATATGTTATATCTCCCTCAAGGCCAGTCCATATTATATAAATATTAGAATGATACTCTTTAAGAAATAATGATAAGATAAATCATTCTCTTCCTTTTTATTATTTTCAATTCATGTAGCTACTAGAGGAAGGAAAGCGACAAGATGGAAGATCACCTCTAGAAATCAGACCAATATGTGAGTAGTTATTTAAGATTACAATTTTCATGCATACCTGTTCACGAGTAGACCTAGGTCAGTTTTCTACTTTTATTTCCCGATGATACCTTTTAAATCTGTTTGTTTATTTTTAGTTTATTGCATTATGTTGTTGCTGTTATTGTTTTTTTGCTTGAGAATTAGCTTTTAGTCCTCTTATACAAATGCTGTCATTACATTTATAAGGGGAAAACAGAAAAGAGACTGTCATTTTGATTTTTACATTTCATCTCTTCCAATACATATGTTTATGCTTAATTTCACTTTTTGTAATAGAAATGTTTTTATAGCAATTGTTGAATACTCTCTGAACTCTTTCGCTCGAACAACTTCTATTTTCCCCCTCCATTCTCTCCCTTTCTCTCCCTTTCACAGTCTTGGTCTTTCAACATAAAAGTGTATTACTGCATTTAATAAACACATACATGTAACTTTGTTTTGCAATTTCCATTTTATCTTACCAATGCTATGTAATTTCTGCAAAAGTTGACTTACAATATATGTATTTTAGTTTTGTATGTGTTTGTATCTCTCTATATTCTAAATTTCTTTGTAAATTGATCATTTTCAGACTGCGAGCTGCTTGTTTGATATGATTTTACAATAAACCAAACAATTTAATTCAATTCAAGATGTTATATTCAACAAATTATGTTGCAAAAAATTAAGATTGTATTACAAAGTACTTCAAAAGTTTGCTTGGGCTTGGGCTACAAGTACAGTCAAACCTACCTTAGTGATCACCTGTCTACAACAACCACATTTTTTGTTTTCCTTGAAAATGGTTTCTCATTGAACCATGTGCTAAAGGAACCTGTCCACAAAGACAACTTTTTGTCTTTCCCTTGGGCGGTCACTATAGACAGGTTTGACTATACCTGGCACAGTTTTGTAGTTTGTACTTATTTTCCCCTCCCTTCTCCCCCACTACTGCATTTCACGCTCTCTACCATGTATCAAGCTAACAAATCACATCATGCATCACCTCATTTTGCAGTTCTCAAAGCTGGGGCGGTCAGTCAGGCCAAAGGATCGTGCTACATGGAGATGAAGAACACCAAGGTCATCTGCGCTGTGTATGGGCCGCGAGAGGTGCCGCGGAGAGACGGCTTTGTCATCAATGGTCAGCTCAGGTGTGAGTTCAAATTCGCCACCTTCGCCAGTGAAGTGAGGCACGGACACTTGACCAGTCACACTGAGAAGGACCTGGCGTTGCAGGTTCAACAAGCCCTGGAACCAGCGGTTTGTTTGGTAGGCATTGTTTTGCTTTAATACTTTGTGGTGTGACATGTGTGGTCCAGTAGCAACTGCTCCCTGGAAAATTTCCTTCATTAATAATAATAATAATAATGACATTTATAGGGTGCTTTTTACAGGCATTTCTAAGCGCGCGTACTGCAACCTGTACTGCAACCCTGGACCACACACTATGCCCAATCCTAACCCTAAGCTTAAGGATAATTTGAGTTCTGGTTATGCGATTGCATTGTGAAAAAAATGGTGTGGAATCAACAAGAAAAAGTTGATCATGTAGCAAATAAGTATTGGTATGTACTGCAAGGTTTTGTAGTCATCAAAATGATAAGAAAGTTTGCCCAGTCTTGGTAAAGTAAATAGCACTATACACAGAAAGATGTATATGGGACTACACAAACATGTGGCTTGAAAATCGGGCCTCATTTTTAAGCTGGTATTTGTCATATTTAGAATATAAATACATTTGAAGAGCCATGCTTTTCAGGGAACATTTTTTTCTCTGATGTTGTTCCACACTTGCATAATAATAATAATAATAATACAGCATTTGTTATGCTCCATCAATCTAGTGAACTATTCTGAGGTGCAGAGGGATAGAATTAGAATGAGTAGAATAATAACAATGATAATGCTCACAAATTAGTTTTCACTCCCCTCAGAACATAGGCCGGTCGGTCAGAATTTTTTTTTTTTACTTCTCTTTTTCTTTTTTTCTCCCTCTTTGTGCTGATATTTCTCAGATTTGAATGCTTTATTATTTTTTTTTTTCTCTAATAAACGGTAACAAAATAAAAACTTTTATGAAAAGCGGACTGTAGATTTCAAGATTTTGGGGTCGGTCGCAAAGGGCATACAACAACTTTTTTTTTTAAGGCCTGATAGTAAGGGTTACATACTCACTGACATTATTCATCCATGAATTCATTTTTATTATTAAAAAAAAAAATAGTGATATTTTATGCAATTATGATTCGATTAAATGGAAAGCACCTATTGAGGGTGTGTATTTTTTTAGTGAAGGATGATGTATAGAAGGAAGAAGAGAGGAAAATTGAAAGGCGTTAACCCCTTTTTTGTCTTTCATTTCATTTATTTTGTTTTACAGCACAAGATACCAAAGTCCCAAGTTGATATATTTATCACAGTACTTGAAAACGATGGGAGTGGTAAGTTTACACGTGTGCTGTATCAAAGTCTACTAATCAGTAACAAAAAGTAAATTATTCTGTATGTTAGTGGTTCCATATTCCATAATACTACATTCCGAATATGAGTTTAAGATATTTCTTCTGTGAAGAGATTTTGCAAGTTTAGATACATGTACACTCTCAATAAACATAAAAGTGACAGGTGAGAAGACTTCTTAATGCCACCCATACGCATTAGCTTGGAATAAGGCCCACACAGAACCCAATTTAGACTTGGTTCCTGTGCACGGCTACACATGGTTTTATCATGGAGATTCTTATCTCCATGGTTTTATGTTCTTTTTCACTTTTTTCATACTTCTTTCCGGTAGCCTAAAGATTGCCGGGTGAAGTTTTTTAGGTTGATTTAGACATTCTGTCTATACACAAATGATTTATTGAGGTGGTTATTACACTTTAATTAATACGAACTGTTTCCCATGCTGTACGTTCATGGAGATCTGTGCTAGTGTGAATGTAGGTTTGGCTGAAACATCAACCATTTTATAAACCAGTGTGAATGAGGCATTCAATCATGCTGCCTTTTCCATTTGGGCTGGCTGACATTCCACAAACGGATCTTTTAGAATTTGAAGAACAGCACACAATCATAAACCTTCAACCCCCCCCCCCCCCCCCCCCCCCCCCACACGCTCAAAATAAGAAGACATGAGGGTTCAACAAAATATACTGGAAAACCAGAGCTTTCATGCATATTCATTGTTCATTTAGTAGTTTTACTACCCTGGTAGTAAAGATTGGCAAATCTTTGCATGGTATGAAATAATTGAAACACACAACTGGCTCAACACCAAATTTTTACGATTTGAGATTGCTCTTGTTTACATTTGTGAAAGTTTTCATGTCATGTAAGTTTCTGGTTTTTACGCTATTTCTTTTGTTTTCCATTGAAAGCTGAACACAATGCAATCATAGATCTTTTTTTTTTGGTACAGTTCTGTCAGCAGCCATTACATGCGCATCCATTGCCGTTGCAAATGCTGGGATCGAGATGTATGACCTTGTTATTGGCAGTTCGTTGGTAAGTCTTTTATCACTATCATTTAAAGCTAATCTGTACTAGTTTATAGAAGGGATTAGAGCACCCTGCAAGGTCACTGCACATGTAATAATAATAATAATAATAATAATAATAATAGCCTAATAGTCCACTCCAAATTTTATTAAACCGAAACGGAAATTCTTTTTGCCCAATTGTGGTTATCTTATCAACTCAGCTCTCAAATAACATGAGAAAAAGATGATCATGGGGGACCAACAGGCACCGATTGCGGAAGTTTTCTATATAGAGGGAGCAAGTAGCTACAAGCAGTACGGTGGGGATTTAAGGAAAAGATTTTGAGTGCTCTTAAGGCAAGTGCACTGTGATGGAAGTGTCTTGAAGTAATTTGGAAGGGTTGGATATATATTACATAAGACTGATTGGGTAGTGTGGGTTTTTGAACCATGAGATGGCGCTGTGCAATAAACGTTATGCTAAGGCAGAGAGTTCATCAGTTCAGTATTGCTTTGAACAGGTCAAGAGCTTTCAAGTTTCATGAACAGATTTTGGAGGTTAGGAGTCCTATGAATAAGCAGTATTTGTCATTTTCTTACATGTTTCATTGCTGCAATTTGTGTTGAATCATTTGATGTGTTAATCATTTCAGAGACAAACCGGAGAAACACTGCTGCTAGATCCAACAGCATTTGATGAAACTGCCGAGTCAGAGTCTACAGATGATACACAAGCAATCGTCACTGTGGGGTTTCTTCCTTCTCTCAAACAAGTCTCGTGCTCGGTCCAACAAGGACAGCTCCAATGTGAAGACTCTATCAAGGTAAGCTATCAAATCTCTTGTCTGGTCCTAAAACGAAACTTTAAAACCTGTCTGCACTAGTGTGGCCAGGGGGGATTAGACCTCCTTGCAAGGTCACTGACAGGTGTTTATCTCATCAAATCAGCTCTCAATTACCATAAGAAAAAAAAAACATCATAGGGGACCAACAGGCACCGATGAAATATTGTTTGCAATATAGAGGGCGCAAGTAGCTATGGTAGTGCAGTGGGGCTTTAAAGGACGACTTTACATTGGTATGTTCTTATAGTAGCCTTTGTAGGTGTTTAGGTGGTCTGTCGTTTACGACAGATCACCTATTGTTTTCGTCGGAATTTTCTTTCTTATTATTATTATTATTATTATTATTATTATTTATTTTTATTTCTCCACACTTTTTTGTTCCGATGATAACTCAGATCGGTTCAGTCAATTTCGTCCAATTTTGGCACAGTCATAGGTCATTGCCATAACACGTGACAGGAACATTTTCAAGGTCATCAAGTCTTTGTGACGTCATCCAGGCGCCATTTTGTGTTTTTTTTGGTTCTTTCAACTCATGATCATATCTTCATAACGAAAAGGCATTTCTTATTCATGTTTATCATGATCAAGGTCAATATCCGTCTGGTCAATTTCAGGTCAAAGAACGCGCGCGCATGCGTACGTCCGCGCGTCAGCGCGCGCTCAAAAAATAAAAATGCTCAAAATCGTCTCAAATTCATTTTGCATATATGTTTCAGGCCATTTTAAGCATTTTGCAAAAAAACGTGCACGCGCGTGCGTTTTAGCGCGTACTGGTATTTTCCAACATAGAATCGCCAAATTTTCTCTGTCATCATATTTGGCACATTTTTTCAAGCATTTTGATACCTTTTTCACCTTTTTCTGCCCATTACTAACGGAATGAGCGTCCGTTTAAGATGATTTCCGTGCGTGCGAGCTCTTGTAATACATAGCATACATGGGCAAAAACATGCCTATACAAAATCCATTGTAGCGCTTTAGGATGCAAGGTGGACCCAATTTTTTGTTCATATTTTGATAGAGTATGAATTGGAGATAGGATTTCATGTCTCATTTGACCCTCAATTAACTCATGACGTCATCATAATGGCCTCCGAACTCAAAATTTCAATTTGCATATTATGACGTCAGCATATTTATGGAAAATTGATTGTATCTCTGTAAATATTGATCAATTTTCTTCCAAATTTTGATATGTTCTAGCTGAGAATAATTTCTACAAATGCAGTCATCACGATATTTCATTTTGACGAAAGCATTATGGCGTATTTTTGCGATTAAAGGAGGCATGTCAATTTTTCACATTTTGCGTGTATTCTCTATGGGACATGACTTTTTCTCAAAACTGGATTCTACATCCTGTCTTTTGCGAGCAATATCTTCGTCGTTTTAGCTTTGTTTTCGCTGAGCTTTGAGTATGTTGTAGCTGAGACAATAAGCTATCACAAGTGTGCCCTTTATTTTTCGATCAGATGCCAAGATCCCCGGCCCCCCCAACTCAGTGTTATTTAGGATACGCGTATGCTTGTACCCTCTTTTTGAAAAGGCCCCCTATCTGAGCACTGCCAACATTTCCGAACCCCCCTTTCGCAGGCTTTTCACTGGCTTTTCCTGCCTTGGAGACCCCCCTAAATCCGGAACGCTGCTCAATGTACCCCCCTATCTCAGGACATGCAGACACCCCCCCCCCCCCCCCCCCCCCCTCATCTCAGATAAGCTGTCATTACTGGTTGGCACTTCTTCAAGTTCTTCTTCTTGATCATTTTGAAGCACAATTCTTTTTAGGGCTTCAATATTACACCATATCACAGACACTGATAACATATAGGGCCTTGCATCTCAGATTTAACATTGTTTAACGATTCCTTTAATTCACAGCCAGGATAGTATTACTAATGCAGCTGTGTGTGAATTAGGGTAGCCTACACTAGGCCTACAGTACAAAACTACATAGGTCTAGATCCAAGTCCCACATATTCATTTTTATGGGTGTAGGAAAATGAGTTTGAAAGTGTTACTATTGCGATCAAACTATAGGGCAAACTACTCACCTGAATGTGCCACCCTGTGAGCCACAGGTAGACGGCCACAATATCCACAACGAGGAGACTGTGGGTCCTGCTCAAAGACGTCGCAATCATGACAATTTTGGCAGGGCCCACGCCTCATACCCCATCTTGATGCCCCGGCTTGATGCCGAGCCTAGCCCGATGTGCATGCTGAGCGTGCAGCTAGCGGATGCACCGTACAGACTATACGTTCTGTTGTTATCTCTCTCTCTCTCTCTCTCTCACACAGATTTCGAGAAGTCCGTACTGCCGCCGTACTGGGACGGGAGTGCATGGGACTCACTGATTTTACTTTTCATAATGAAATAATCCTGAATGAGCTTTCAAAACTAGCAGGAATTTCTGAAATCTGATCGCGGGATTTCATCAATTTTTCTATGTTCAACTTCAAGATATTTTATAACCCCCTTTTTTAATTACAAACAGATGAGAGAAAAACACCCCCTTTTTAAAGAAATCTCCGGGTGAAAGTCAAATACACCCCCTTTTTTTACATTTCTCGGGCCGGACTTTGTCGCACGAAAAGTACCCCTTTACCGGACATTTTGGCAACACGCATGCGGTCATTTCGAAACCTGAGTGGGGGGGCCGGGCCGGGATCATGCTCATATCTCACTTGCAAAGTGGGATTTGATAATTCAATTTTCCGTTTACTTGTAATCGCTATGGGAAATGTTTTGGTATATCGGTAACGCACTTGACTTCCGACCTCGAGGTCCCTGGTTCGAGTCCGGGCGTCTCCAACAATTTTTTTCTTCACTTTTTTTTCTTTTTGAACTTTCACTATACCATCTCCTTTGAATATTAAAACACGTACAATCGCAAATAATGTAATAAACAACCATATTTACTTTATTATTACCCTAATATCACTTGATCCATTATTCTTCATTCATCAATTCATATCTCAATACATCATTTTACATTAACATCATTTTATTGGGTAATTCAATTGAAGATGAGCATGATCATAAGAATTGAAGACAGACCACCTAATTCGTCCCCATGACAAATTAAATTTCTAGTTTCAATTTGTTTCATTTTAGTTGACATTTGTTTCCTTCATCAGGACAATATACACAAAGACAAAAGATGGAATGTCATAACAGATAACAATATCGAAATTACATATAAATTTACATAATAACGTTCAAAATATAAAGAAAATATGAAAGCAGAAACCATAGTTTAAATGGTGCATCCTTAAAAGCCAATAAGTCTTGGCAATTGAGTGCACCAGGCACACAAGTAATACTAACATATATTTATATTTTTTAATTAAAAGGGGGGGGGTTGATATTTTACATATTACAAAGGAAAGACAGGTTTCCTCCCTTGATATAAAGCTAGATATATATTGATAAGGATATTAGCTTGATCTGTTTAATCAATCTACAGTTGATTTCTGAACAACTTTTTATTATTATTATTTATTCGGCATTTCAAAATACAAGAACAATACAGAGTAATATGCAAATTACAGCAATTACAGGAACATATATATATACATGATAAAGAAAGGACCTGAATCAGAGATGATGGGGCTGCCTGGGTTTGGAAAAGGTTAACTAAATTACCATGACCCACAGGTCTTCCTTCCCACACCCCTTCAACTCCATCCAGGTCAGGATAAGAAAATCCAAAGAAAACATATTATATAAATTAACAGTGTATAACTGGAAACTGGCAACACTCCACAACACCACAAGATCACTGTTATGTTGTAGCCACTGTGCTCCTTTAGCTGAAAACATATAGTCTGTTACCATAATACATCTGCAACACCTGATAAAATATAGATATTATACAGTCAATTTGATGGCATTACTAAAAGAGAAGTGTTGTTATATTCTAGCGCTAATGTAAAGGCACACTTTATTAGGACAGGCAAGAGATTGTGATATTGAAGGACTTTCTAAGGTAATGATATAACTTCTTATCTTCCTTGTCACAGGCTTTACAGCAGTGTATTGATGTGTGTGAACGTTACTACCAAGTTGTCTACGAGTGCTTGAAGAAATCGGTCAAGAAATTAAAGTCACCAGTGGAGTCCCCCATGGACGAAGCTCCTGCATCATGACACTGATAGACGGCGCTATGTCAGGTGGACCATATGAAAGCATTAAGGCTGTAACCTATAACAGACTCTTATGTTGAAATTAAGTGAAGTTTTTGATGATTTCAGCTGAGCAACCATACATGTGAAGAGTTATAAGGGTTAAGAGATCACCTCGTATACCTATTTCTTATACTGGATTGACTACTTGGGTCGGTCATGGATTATCAAGGATTGATCCAGGGTAGATTAGTCTGCAAGAACACAGTCCAATTTGACACTTTACTACTATTACTAAAGCCTTGAGCAGAGCCTGGCTCTGAATGTCTCCGGTTGTGTCTGGAGCAGCGTAAGTACAGAGCCTGTGCAGTTTACCGTCATCTTAGTCTTGCAGTGCAAACACTAGAGCGCTTTCGCAAAAACGAGGGAAGCAAAGACGACGGGAGAATTACTGCGATACAGCTCTTCCATCGTGGTTAGGGAACGAACGCTATCATGGCCGCGTACGGTCGTGAAAATCAACAGGACGGAGAAAATTCTGGTTCGGGCATGCGCAGATTGTTTTTTCGCTTGTGCTACCGTCGTCTTTGCCTTCCGTCATGTTTGCGAAAGCGCCCTACTGTTAAGCACTGTGACTGACAAGAGTTTGTGCCGGCAAACGAGGGTAGGTCACACATGTGGAGAGGGAAATGAGCTTGTAATTCATTTATTTTCAGGTTTTCATATTTGTAGCAGAGCAAGACTTTGTTATAACAAGTCCCAACATGTTTTGGCAAAAGCTTGTTTAACACCTTCCCGGTAACATTTTGAATAATTGTCATAATTGGACTTTCAGGAGTGAATGTTTGACGTTAAAGTTGCTCAAGTGTGGGTATACAGAGGGCAGCACACGGACGTACGCACAGGAGTGTAATACCCATGGGCTCAATGTTATGTAGTGATCGCCAAGTTGTCTACTTTACTTTGCCTATATACCCACGCATGAACATCTTTAAATGCTTCTGTGATAAATTGGACTTATATATTTTCTTCGGAAAGGAAAAAACCTTCTTCAAAGAGGTTACGGTTTCTGCTTCTGGAGAAAAATATAGACCTTTTTACTTCAAACACATCATTCAGAACATGGGATTTGCTGCTCGCAGCACTGAAGAGGTTAATAATCCTGTCATGTATTTTACTTGTTAAGGATGTTTCAAACATCAATTTATATTTGTAAATCTTGTAATAAAGGGAACATTTCTCATGTCTTTTTAATGAGAGGCATATCGTTTTGCTATCCATTGATTGGTGTACATGCAGTTCTGGCATGAATTGAGGAATAAATGGGAAAGGGAGAGAATAGAAAGGAAGAGAGATGGGGGGCAACAGCAGGAGAGTTGGAGATAAAAAGAGGCCTAGGTGGATATAGATGAGAGAACTGGAGAGAGAGGGAAAAAAGAGTAAAGAGAAAGAAAGAGAGACGAAAAAAATAGTGAGGGAAAATAGAGAGAGATTGGGTGGATATAGGGGGTGGGGGCGTGGTAGGAGATTGGGTGATTATATACGAGACAATTGGAAAGAGAAAGTGTATGGGAGCGGGAGAGACAAGTGAGAGAAAGAAAGAGGAAGATCAAGAGAGGATATATACAAGATTACTGGAGAGAGAGAGAGAGAGGGAAAAAGAGTAAAGAGAAAGAAAGAGAGATGGAAAATAGGGAAAACAGAGAGATTGAATGGATATATACGAGATTGGGGAAAGAGAGAAAGTGAGTGAGAGATAGAGAGGATTTGAGGGAGAGGAGAAACGTAAAAATGGAGGGGATATCGAGAAAAAGTAGGGGAGAGAGTTTAAACTTCTAGTTCTTAATACCTCCCACCAGCACATTGAAATAAGTTCGATCTTACTTTAGTTCCGACCTGAGCTTTTGTGCGAAGTTCATTTTGACATATTGCATCCTCTACTACAAATATGCTCTCATATACTTTTTTTCCTTCAATTTTGAAAAAAAGGGTATACGAAATCTGCAAGTAAATTGACAAAATTCAGTTTATTTGGAGGACTTGCATTTCTCTTTTTTCCAGGTCTGTTTTTGACATACGCATGTTTTGGGAGTCTTACGGTCATTTTGTTAACAAAATCTCGTGAAGATTTTTTTTTTATAAGCCGGTGTTTTGCTATCTTACAAGTAACGCTGACATAAGACTTAATATTGATGTTCCATCTTGCAGTCTGATTAGCTTTTTTTCTCAGTTTTGTAGCGTTAGAATACAAAATATATATGTCATTTTCAATGTTTTCTCTTTGTTGAATATTTACAAAGTATGCACATCATGAATATGTCGTCATTAATATCATTTATTCATTTGTTTAAAAAAACAGGGTAGCATAGTCAATTAACGCCGAAGCTGCTTTACACACAAACATATCCAATATTTTAAATTCGTGGACTAAAGACAACAAGACACATCGTCCAGCTCAATTTGACAGAGTAAAATTTCCTTGAAACATGTCTCAGTATAATAGAAAAGTCCCATTGCATTGACTAAATGCAAATAAATGAATTATGAAACACCAATTTCCCGTGTTATCACCATTCGATCGGGGAACATTTGCACCTGACATCAACTATAGAAATCTACTTCATTTTATTGGCAGAAACCGTGAGCCAAAGCCTGATATGATCTGCAGTCCGACACGTATCGGCGGATAGGTGATTTCAGTCGAATTTTCTTTTACCGGGAATCGAATCAGCGCTCCGATTCGGAACCCGGAACTGCATCGAATCTCACACGACAATGGCGTACCTAAATACCCCATCGCCTTTCCAACTGTTTGCAGGCCTCGTAATTTTAAAAAAATTGAGAGAGACCGAATTATTACCCGTTTTTCGAGAAGAGATTCAATAGTATATCGTAGAATACATAATGGTAAAGTTGATAAACTTGCAAGGTCGAAAATTATAAATACACCCTCAAGCTATTCCTGAAAACAACAACGATAGACAAAAATTACAGCTGCGAATTTCATCTGTAAACATTGAAAAAACGATTGCATTTTCATATGACACAAAGTATAATAAACTAACCTCGATCTTCTGCAAGCTAGGCTATTTAACATTACACAAATGAAACATCGGTCATTACGCTTTTATAGGACAAACAAGTATTAAAAAGGTTTTTTTTTAGCAGAAGAATACTATCTATAATGTCTATGTAATGATACTTATCTTTACAACGATATTTATGTATATGTTATGTAAAGTTGTAGGTTAACTGCATGTGAGCATAGAATATTTCCTTTGGACAATAAACTAAAATTGAAACAAAAATTGACATCATTGATTTCGCTTTTCATAACCTGGAGACTACGTTACGGTAACAAAGTGAGACAAGTATTATAATGAAGAAACCTGGGGAAGCCAAAATGTACCAATAAAATATAGGTTGACTATGAATTCTCAAACTAAGAACATTCTTAATTTTACTGAAATATTTATAGAAAGGGCATCGTTAACTTAGCCCTTACCAAGCTACCCTTGTTGTTGTTGACGATGATGATTTTTATTTGTTGTTTTTTGTTTATTTAATGTTATTATAATTTTAATTTTTAAAAAGACTGCTTTGCAGAAATGAGCGTATACTCTATATACTGTAAAGTCGCCCACAGTGCCCCTCTCTTTGCCCAGACTATATACACCTGTAATTCTCTTGAAAATGGAATGTTTAGTTTGATGAAGGTTAAAGAGCTGACACTTCGTCAGATTCAAGATTTTTCAACTTCAACATTTAGCGTTCATAAGTAAAAGCATTGCGTTCCCTGAAAGGAGAGACTGATATACGAAACGACAAATACAAAATATTTTTTATATATTTATTCTAAATCTTGATTATGCTTCGTTGTAATATTCCATAAACACGATCGCGAAGACTTTCGAGAAGTCAAATTAAGGCCAATTTCGGTATGCTATTGTGTATCACATACGAATCATATTCGGATTACGTAGAGGTGTCGTGGTCAAACACGTACCCATGGGGGGGGGGGGGCACGCGCCTCCAAAATGTCCAAGATCGGATGAACTTTTTTGGACCCCTCCCCCAGGACGTCGATCGATTGCATGTGCCCCCCCCCCCCCCCCCAACATCAAACTCTGGCTACGGCCCTGGTCGTGGTCGAGTGGATATGTCACCAAACTCTCGATCACAAGGTCCGCGGCACTAATGTCCTTAAGCATGACGTTGATCTACATTTGCCACACTCAACCCAGGTGATGTAAATGGGTACCTGGCAGGAATTAATTCCGTGAAATGCAAGATCGCCGCATGGCAGCCATGCTAAATTAGCCAGGGTAATAATCGGGAGCGCTAGGAGTGTACGGTCTGACAGACATGAGCGCTATACAAGAACCCACTATTATTATTATTATTATTATTATTAATACGTAGTCATTTTTATGTTCAAACATTTCAGTACGTGTATGCTTTTCAGATTGTCCGAGGTTGATTTCTGAAAGTCTTTGCGATCTCGTTCCTGTCATTGACAATTTCTTTGCAAAAAAGATTTATAAAAAAAATATGAACGATTGTCAACAAATCTTTATCGAGTGAGAATGATCCTGATTTCATTACCGTTGTGATTCTTCTCATTGATGTACACAGCCTCTAAACACACAAGTAACTACTAGTGAGGAATGTAGAATGAAGTTGGCCATAAGATGGCGCTGTGCAATAAACGGTACCAGAGCCATGTACAGAGTTTGGCCAACTTGGTTTCACTGGGTCACAACATGGCGTATATTCTTTTGTTTTGTGCTTGCCCAACAAATCAGTAGTCGCCATATTGTGACCAACTCGAACCGGGTTGGCCAAACTCTGTATATAGATGGCTCTGAACGGTACGCTTGACAGTACGGGTTGAATGTTCATCAGTTCAGTATCGCTTTAAGTATAGAAAATTTCATGACATATTCACAGAATCCAGTCGCTAAACGAACCGTTATGCAGAGAAGGGTTCGCTCGTATATCTGGTCCGGGGTATCGTATAGGAACAGAACCTCGTAGATATGACCCAAGACGCCTTAAAAGGAAGTAAGTAATATCTGTCCTCTCTAAGGATAAATCGTTCATTTCTTTCGGATCTTCGGATATGTCGAAGAGCCATACTCGCTTTTCGGGTGTATCCGTTGAGTGGATGGTGTTCTCCCCGGATTCTGGGGGTGGTACCCAGCTTCTGTTTCCTGCGAAAGGGAAACAAGCATGTTATTCAGTCATTGCGTGACATATATTGTCAATATTCAATAATGATGATATATTTGTGTTAATATATAATGTATAACGAATCCTTAAACAATTCGTGCAGCTCTTGTGGAAATAAATAATTGCGAGAGGAAATGAGATGATCACTGAATAAGAGCAACGAATACAGACATACTGAAACTTTTCATCTTGCACTCATGAGCGTGAATCAAAAGAATGAACAAGAAGCTAAAGTCGGACATTATAAGCGGAAGCTATTAAAGCCCCAAAATGATTTCGGCTTTCTGTTCATTCTGGCACTTTACGCTGGCGAGTGCAAGACGAAAAGCTTCAGTATGTTTGAATACATCCCTATCCTATTCTTCGATTACCAGTTTTAATCATCTCTAAGAGAAGACCATTTTATACATGACTACTTCAATCTAGACCCTTTCTTTTCGGTTATCTGTATGAACAAAATTAATGATTTCATTTCACTTTTGTACGCGTTGTCGAAAATTGCAGAGACTTACAGGGGGTGAATGAAATGTATGCTTATACATCAATTTATAAACATACTTTTCAACCTGGAGCAATCATGATTCAGATCGAACAATTTATGTTCATGTATTGTTGTACCGAATGCATGATCTCTGCTCTAGGCCTAAGTATGTGGACATGAACTGCGTTCTTGATCACAAGCATAATGGAAATAAAGTATATATATATATATATAATATATCAGAAGCGGATCTAGAGGGGGGGTTGGGGGGGGGGTTGCAACCCCCCCCCCAAAAAAAAAAAAAAATCCGGGGACCATTTTTTTAAATCTTATCTTTTTTTTAAAACTTGTAATTTTATTTTATTCTATTTCTATGTATTTATTTCATTTATTATTATTATTATTATTATTATTATTATTATTATTATTATTATTATTATTATTATTTCTTTTTGGGGTAGGGGGGGGGGTTGGGCGAAAAAATGTCACAGAGTCCCTTGCCCCCCCCCCCCCCCCCCATCAGCTTTTTTGAGGACACGGGCCACCGCCGAAGTGACAAGCTAGGCCAGCGTTGCCGATTCTCATCCCCCAAATCCCCACATTAAAACAAAATTGGGGGATTGTTGAAGTCTTTGGGGATGAAAAATAAATATTTGGGAATGAAAATAATATTGAGTTTTATGAAAAACGAATTTGGGGATTTTCTGTCAAAATTTGGCAACTTTGGGGATATTTTAAGTGTCGTTTGGGTAGGGATTTTGTGAAGATTTCCTGGATTACTTGTTCAAGTTGCTCACTTTTTTATCAGTCTGGTCTGAGTGTAGTGACAAGCAATATGGAAGCAAACAGGGCAAAGAAGTTGCGGCAATCCAGTCTCGCATCTTTTTTTACTGGAAGGTATGTTTGAATCATGCAAAAAAGTTGGCATACAGGGTAAATTACCATACATGGGGGTGTAATACGGACGTGTTCATGCACTGCTTTTTATGGTCTCCATTGTGTTAATAGATGCCAGGAAAACATCACTTACGGGGTTCAAATAAACCCCAAAAAAAAATTGGCTCGCCGCTTCGCGGCTCGTCGACGATGCTCCGCATCGTCATTATTGGTCAACCCCCCCGTTAGCAAAAAGCTAGATCCGCCCCTGTATATATATATATATATATATATAGTATAAAGAAGTACATAATTATATTTCCACATCGGCGAAAAAAAAAGTTCATGGATCGCCCTATTCCCTATGTCCTTCAACATCAGCGGACCTTTCCGAAAAAGATGAATTTACTGATTTAACAATAATTAGATAGTAAAATGTCATTGTTGGGGACACTTTTTTTCTCCATCGAAGCCTGTAAGGTATAAGATTGTTACAGAAGGAAGGGGTGGGGTTGAGGGCTCGGGGGGGGGGGTAGCATTGTTTTCTATACATATTGTGTCTCGCGTAAATTCGTTTATACTCAACATTTATTGAGAAGGGGGCCGTGGGCGTTAACCCCCAACCCCCACCCTTTCTCCTTTAGAAATGTCATACTAACCGATTTGAGACGTGATAAGTTTCCAGTTCTCATAACGAATCGCTGCTGGGAAGTTAATTGAAAACCATCGAGGTAGCTCACTGAAAATAGGAGAATACGGGTCGATGTTGTGCAGTATCTCTTTCCGCGGCCAACTGTCTTTACCCCGGGTCCTGAGAGACACAGAAATCAAAGGAGAAAATGGGAGGAATTATACCAATCCATCGAACAAGCGAAATAGTAACATGGTAATGGCCAAATATGATTGAAGCCCCCATGGTTCCGATCTCGCTCGACCGCGGAGTGACGAAATAATGACAATGAAATTATAAAACTTAGATTTAAAAAAAAGTAGTATGCAGCAATTCCATTTAAATTCATGTATGTATTTGAAAGTGTTCCTGAATTATTGTTAATTAAAACATGATATTCATGTATCAAACACTTTGTAGAAAGAGTGAGGGCTAATTTTTCAATTTTGTCTTATTATACGCGATAATAAGTGAATGTAAATCGGGTTGGTATTCACGATTAAATCTCGAAGACAGGAAAATCTACAAACCAATTCATCCGAAAATAGATCTACTAACTTGTCAATGCGAAAAAAGATCTAAACAATATTTAATCCTGGAAAAGACCTACAAAATAACATGTCTAATTAATCTGAGAGGAGACCTATGAACCATGCAACTAATCGGGGGAAATATTCACGAACTGGTCAATTACTGTAACAAATCTACAAATTAATTGGCAATTAAAGGCGGAAAATAAAAAAGAACTAAACAATGAGGAAAAGATCTACGAACTAGTCAATGTGGAGAAAAGGGAATTATTAATGTGGGGAAAGTACAGAAAGGAGATCAGGCAGATTCCACCCCTGGCCCTTTTACATTTAGGTACCACATTTGAATGTGTGTATCATTGCTTACTTCTTTTTGTTTAGCAGATGCTTCCATAGATTGTGTCCATCAAGGTGTGTGCCCTTCAGACTACCTCTGGCCACGCCCCTGACTAGGGTGGGAAACCAGTCGGTTACGTGAAATAGATTATTGTTGACGGTTCCGCGAACAAGTTTCGGCAGTAAGGGACTGGCGATGAAACCTACGGACTTGATACCGCCTTCCCACAGGGATCTTTTCATCCCACGCAAAGGCCAGTTGCTACCGCCATAGTTGAAATTAGCTCCGTTGTCTGCCAAAGAAAAATGCTAGATGTTTATTTTGGTGAAATAAATTTTTCACAAACATTGTGTTATTACATAATGTGCATATCCTCGGAGGTATAGAGCCATAAGTTACTTGTAGACCCAACGATCAACGACATCAAAATAATGAATAAAGAAAGATTAGCACTATATCTATATTATAACTTATATATTTGGAGGAAAGAGTTTGCGCCATTAGCATGATTAGTGTGCCTCCGAAAAAATATTCATAAAGAGGGGTCCTAATAATTATGATTCTTGCCATAACAAAACTGTAAGAAAGCAAGTTTGACTGTTTGGGGACGATTACTCATTCACGGAGAAGTCGTGCTACAGTTCGTTATTAAACTTGACTCTTAATCTAAAGGTTGAGGGTTCAGATCCCAGCTCGGCACTAACGTCCTTTGGCGAGATATTAATTCCACATTTGCCACTCTCCGCCCTGGTGTATATGGATAATTACAGGGCCCTCAGGAATAACGGCAATAATGCAGATAGGGTTTCACTGAATAACAAAATCATTATTAATATTATTATTACTATAGTTAAGCCTGAATTTTTAACACATGCGCGTCGTCGAAAAAATTGCTCTTCTTTCTATAGAAATACTATATTATATTCCACTTACTAAGAATCTTGCTCTACGATTGGTCAAAAGTAAATTACGTGATGAAAAATAGTTCGCTCATCATTGATGGGAGAAGAAAAGTTCGTTACACTGTGTAGCTAGTACTACTATTTTCAGTGAAAGTGCGTTGCACTCGGTATCTACACTGTACAACGCAAGACCCGCGGAAAGACAGAAGGGCGGAGCAACACCTGCTTTAACCAGAGGTGCACCTTCGGCATTGCATCAGGTTAAAAAATTGCTCTTCTTTTTTTCGCGTACGTGGTACATAAAAAAGACTATCGGAATTGTATTACCTGAAGAGAAGATGATTATGGTGTTGTTCCACAATCCGGTTTTCTTCAGCGTTCTGGTGAGGTTGCCGACCGCTTCGTCCATACATTTCACCATGCCGGCGTAGGTCCGTCTCCGCTCATCAGCAATGTAGTTGAAGTCTTCCATGTACCGGGGAGGGACCTCAAGCGGATAGTGGACAGCTTGGAAGGAGTGGTAGAGGAACAGTGGCTGCAATTTCACAGAACATGTAAAACTTAAAGAACATGATGTGTCCAGAATGGTTATCATATTAAAAAGTTATGGCAATTTCTCGGTATTATGAACAGTTTTCGGCATATCTAATGTAATTTGGAAGTTTGCTTTTCAATATTTATTCCAATGGCAGGATTATATATAGAAAGGTGCGAGGTAAAGACCTGGGGGTGTTTCACAAAGATCCTAAGTCAAACTTAACTCTAAGTTGGACTTAAACATTATGGAGAGCTATTTGTAGCCTTAAAATAAAATATATCAAAAAGCAAAAAATGTAAGTACTCAAGACTTTTCATAAATTCCACATCAAGAACATGAAATTTTCTTGATAAGAAACAATGTGAATGATTTGAATCAACATTTTATGCCTTTTGATATGACTTTTACAAAATATTTTCAAAGATGCTAACGGCTTTACATAATTGTTAAGTCTAACTTAGAGATAAGTTCAACTTAGAGATAAATTCAACTTAGGATCTTTGTGAAACACCCTAGAAATCTTGAAGAGGCCGAGTACGTATCGCCACTGGACCATAAACAACCACCACAGAAATCGTCACAAGAACAGGATGACTTCAGTTTATCATGGGCGACGACCTTTGAGTTATCTCGATGTTCTCGATCCGTCAATCGAAATGTACTATTAAAAATCATCTAAAGTGAATTCGGAAGATAAACATTGTTTATAGATACTCCGAAATCTTTAAATCTATCCAATTATAATTTCGAGCAAGAGGAGAGAAGGGTTCTTATCTTTGTTGTTTACTGATCACATTGCAAACAAACGTTGGAAAATGTTTGATGGTTTCTATTATTTTTTCACGGAAGTTACACTATTCTTTTAGTGTTCTTATCTTTCTTTTTTATGATGACTCCTGCGAACAAACGTTGGAAACTGTTAGATGGTTTCTATTAATTTGTTACGGAAGTTACACTTTACTTATAGTGTTTGTTTTTCCTGTATCATCGACCTCTTCAAAACTTTCCCATGACAAAAGCCGACCACAATTTTAAACAACGGAACATATTTTGTTCACTGACCTTTGACCTGTTATGCCGACGAATAATATTTTGTGATTTCTGAGTGAAGAGATGGGTGGAGTAGACACCTTGGTAGTCCTGTGCTACCTGCTCCAGATTGTCCCTTAGGTCGTACCCGGACCAATTCTTCGAGTCTACCAATCCAGGGTGTCCTCCGTAGTGTTTGTGTGTGTAGAAACCCCCTCTACCCGTTAACAATCCTGCATTAGTATGTTAACGAGAAATATGTTAGGGATGGTCCATTTCAACGTTACGGTGTGAAATTTTTGGAGAATTTTCAATTTTGAAGAAAAAAAAATATATCATGGAAATTTTAAATGATACAAATTAATGATATAATATATGAAAGAGTAAGATGTTCTTTTACAACAGTTTTAAGTTTCCTACCAACCATTAATCTGGTTTCTAAAACATATTGTATTTTCAATAGGTTTGTTACGGAATAACCAGAATTTGCCCTTCTATATGTCATTCCGTAACAAAGTATATGCAATTCTATATTATCATAAACTCGATGAATGGTTTATAAGATACCAAAATGTTGTTAAAGTACCTGATATTGTAGTTGTTTATTAAATTGTTTAAGATATTCTTTATGAAATACTCTGGAAATTTGTCAATCCGTAATGCTTTGAATTGACCTACAATAGTTCATATGACGTGTACCTTTCTCCTCATTCAGTATCCATCGGTTAATCTGGTTATTGTTTCACTTGGTTGCCATTTGGTCGCCATAATCGTATAATTTCATGCTTTTCCAAATTCCCCCGTGATACCCTGCCCTAAAAGCATTGACACCCCCCCCCCCCCACACACACACACATACTCTCTCTCTCTCTCTCTCTCTCTCACTCTCTCTCTCTCTCTCTCTCTCTCTCTCTAAAAACACCTGGCTACTAAACCGCTATACCTATTCAATTTGTCTAACTGGGTTACAGTGGCGTAGTTGCAGGGGTACACGCCCCCCCCCCTCCCCAAGTGATTGTCGAGAAAAATAAAAGGGACAAAATAGAGAAGTCAAGGTTGAAGGGAAAAAGAACGAGAAAAGAAGACGCCAGGACCATAGGAGTATGACCGGTGCCCCCTACCCCCCCCCCCCCCCCTCCTCCATCATTCCAGTAGACTCCTCACGCTAATACGCCACTGCTGGGTTAACATATATTTTTTGAAAGAATTAAGGCATATAAGAACATTTAGAATATTTGTCCATGCTGGTATATGCTTACCAAAGAAGGAATCGAACCCTCGATTTGTTGGCCAGCAACCCTTTTTGTAGTAGCCCATGTGCCATTTGCCCACTGCGTGAGTGGCGTAGCCAGCCTTCCTGAGCTTGTCCGCCATGGTGGGGTCGCTGAGGGGGTGGCACAGTGGTTGTGCGACCCAGATTATACTGTGCTGCATGCCAGTGTGAATCTGTATAGGTGAGATAATAAAACACTATGAAAATATAGGATTATATTAATATATATGTGGGCTGATTTTTTAATCTCCTTCTCTCTCTCTCTTTCTCTCTCTTTCCCCCTCTCTCTCTCTCTCTATCTCTCGCTCTCTCTCTCTCTCTCTCTCTCCCTCTCTCTCTCTCTCTCTCTCTCTCGCTCTCTCTCTCCCCTCCCTCTCTCTATCTCCTGCGTGCGTGCCAGTAGGTCAACGTGCCAGCCTGCATCCTCGGTTCGTTGACTTTTTTTAGATAAATTGTAGAGAGTGAGGAAGGGATGGGGCGAGAGAGAGAGAGAGAGAGAGAGAGAGAGAGAGAGAGAGAGAGAGAGAGAGAGAAAAGGGAGAAAATAATATTATATGCAGCCTGCTTCTTTCTCTGATATGAAATTGAAATGAATATCTAACCAGTATAATCTAGGCAAGATTGATGGGTTGTTTTTCAATATGGTTTATATTCTTGATAGCAGGGTAGGGTTGACCCTGGTTCCGACTGTTCATGTTATGAACATGTTAAGATGAAGAAGAAGTAAAAAAAAATAAAATAAGAAGAAGTCAAAACAATTGAATGATCGAGAGGAGAACGAGACCGGAAAGAAAAGGTTAGATCCGGAGTCATTACATCGCGTGATTGTGATTAATCTTAAGTGATTCATTTGCCCAGTCTTAGAGGCCGTATGGCACAGTCAACAAGAACTGATCACCCAGGATATAGCCATCTATCTTGTTCTTCAAGATCGATGACAACCATTCTACTCCTAACCTTGACCATGCCTATTAAAAGTGGAAGAAACCAGTGACTAGCTTTATTCTGGTCTGCACCTTAGCCTGTCGTTACCAAAGGCTGTGTCGTTGAGTGATCTCTCAGTCAGTAGCTGTTCGCAAGTTTCCTTGGAAGTTGTCCAAAGACAAGTCCATTCCAACCCAATTTCGAAATGGATCTCAGGAGCGCATCCTTGGTCTTCCTGGTGGTAGTTATGGTGCTATCATACTCCATGGCCGCACCTCTTGATGCAGATAACGATGAAGGTAAGAATATACTTGAAGTTATCAAGAATAAGCCAAGTATGATGGGGTTCTAATTTAATATCAGTGGACCTAAGATTAGACTTGAAATTGAACAAGGATTACAGAAAAAACATTCCTCTAATGTTCAATCTTATATTACCCCGAACAAAATTTTCCATGAAATCGTGTCAAAATTTGAACAAGAACAGTAGTAGTAGTAGTAGTAGTAGTAGTAGTAGTAGTAGTAGTGGTAGTAGTAGTAGTAGTAGTAGTAGTAGTAGTAGTAGTAGTAGTAGTAGTAGTAGTAATAGTAGAAGTAGTAGTAGTAGTAGTAGTAGTAGTAGTAGTAGTAGTAGTAGTAGTAGAAGTAGTAGTAGTAGTAGTAGTAGTAGTAGTAGTAGTAGTAGTTGTAGTAGTAGTAGTAGTTGTTGTAGTAGTAGTAGTAGTAGTAGTAGTAGTAGTAGTAGTAGTAGTAGTAGTAATAGTAGTAGAAGTATGATACAATTACTACCGCTATCATTGTTTTTGTTTTTTTACAGAAATGGAGGAAATCTTCAACTCGATCTATCATCGCAAATGCGTCGTAAAAAACAGATGCGAAACCGTCAGCGGTAAGTATACAGGCTGACATTATGAAAAAGTATTAAACGCGTGAGTGGAACGACTTGAAGAAAAAAAAAGAACCTTTCATTTAACGTTCATGAATTCCGCGACTAGTTCATTATCATTTATGTATTAGTTTATTTACCCTACACCTAAACCTTACCTAAAACCCAATCGCAACCTTATCCCTATACTTTTGACGTAATGAAGCCTGGAGCAAATGTCGAATCATCCAGAAATAAATTGCAAGACGTACCAGAAATCATCACTTTATGACACCTTTACACTGCTTGAAATTATTAAGAAAGATATTGCAAAGTGTTTTGCTATTTAATTATGGTTGTCTTTTAATAATTCGTTGTTCATTGAACCTGCAATATCCTTTTCCATCTCACCTAGATTATTTTTGTTCTTCTGTTACTTATTTATTTATTTGTATAGGTCACAAGACGTGCAAGGACTTAACATGTTGCCGAGCCGTGATCTTCAGGCATGAGCGCCCCGAAGTATGCCGACGTAAGTAAAACAAAAATATTTTTAAAATACCATCTTGCCGCTTGGCCTATAAGTAGGTGTACTAGGATTTGTTTTCTTTCGCATAACCATCCCGTGGTATGTCAAGAAGTTAATGGGGAAGGGGAGGAAGAGGGGGATAATGATGCCTATGATGGACATGAGATTCTCCGGCCGGCCGGCGGGGGGGGGGGGGGGGCAAGACCCAAATATCACGGACAAGCAGGAAAATAGAAGAAAAGTTGTCATCAAGATCAGGTGCCATATTAATCAAACTTCTTCGTCAGTATTAAAGAAAATATAATCACTTTTTCACGTTATACTTTTGGGACTAAAATTGCTGCTGGGGTCGGGACACAATTAGTAGCGGGCACATACTTCTTTGGTTTTCAATGTGTACTTTATGGTATGCCAGAGAGTGCTATGCCGGAGGAGGGGCTGTATATAAAATAATGAAAAGGGTTCAATTTTCACAAATGATCTTAAATATTTAATTTTCTCTATTTCATGGGCATCACCCTTTATCATGATTATCACTATAATGTAATATGAGCTTTTGTCGAACTTAAAGATAAACTTGAGTTGTGGTAAAAAAAGAAAATGAATTCTCACAGAATCTAACGAAATTTACACTGAATGTTCAAGATTACAAATAAATGTCATGTGCCAAACAATTTCGGAAGAAAATGTATACTGGCGGAGTAATGAGCATAGAAAGATAAGGAAATCAGTACCAGTACTCAAGTTTATCTTTAAGTCAGCCACTTGTTGATTTCATCTGAAGTGAATGTTGCTTTTGCCTTGTTGATATCATCAATCACCTCTAGCTCTATAATGTCAATTTCGTCATTTCATTGAACCCGGGTATTTTCACCCGAAAAAGGGTAAAGAAAGTTCTTCCCTGTCATAGTTCGTCGTCGGAATTTAATCATTGATTAAATTCCCTCCTTCTTCATTTGGACATGTTCATGAAAAGAAAACTATAAAAAACAAATATTTAAAAATGGCCGAGAACCCATAAGATTCGTTTTCTACAAATTCAGTTAAAGGCCCACTGTACTACTTGTATCTTCTTGCTCCCTCTATATAGAAAACAATGCCTAATCGGTGACCATTGGTCCCCATGATCCTCTCTTTCTTATGGCAATTGAGAGCTGAGTTGATGAGATAGCCACATGTCAGTGACCTCCCTGGGTGGTAATCCCTCCTAGCCAAACTAGTACAGACGGCCTTTAAATTAAACCCTGGGTCTAAGGTCACGTTTTAAAAGAAAATTAGGAACAAGCTTAGACCTCAAACTTACTTCCTTTCATGAACCCGATTTTCAACAAAGACTTTAGCCCAGCGTCTAGTTTAAATTTGAATATGAAGCCATAGTATGATATTAACGAGATACCATACGTCTTGATTATTATTTATTCATATATTCAACTTTGTCTGTTCTTACATGCAGCATCAACCTAGACAGGATTCACCATTCATGGGAAGATGAAGCTACCCATCTAGAGTGTATTTAGATCAGTGGCTGAAACCATGGACCTATACATGCTGAAACCAATGCTATACTATGTCAAACCGTCGTATCTTGCGTATTTCATTTCTCTTTGGTTTTTATAATCTTTCAGTGTTTATATTCTGAAATTTCGAAGTATCCCTGAAATCAAACAACTCAATTTTCTTTTGCAAAGGCAATAAACAAATAAATTGATCATTGTTTATTTTCTTACATATACAAAACTATACACCCCTTTTACGTTAAAGCTTCCACTGCCTAGACAGAATCATAATTCAGTAAACTTGAAGCCACCGATCTAGAGGGTATTTAGATCAGTAGCTGAAATCAATGTTATACTATGTCAAATCGTAGTTGCATGCCGATTTTTGTTTTCGTTATAATAATTCTATTATCGTTTCGAATGAAATTGATATTTAATTAAATTCTTAATAAATAGCATGGTTTAATGACAGTTGAATGACCCAAGTATCATTTTATGGTGTATTGAACGACTAGTGTGTGAAATGGATTTAAATGGTATGTGCTGGGGGGGGGGGGAGGGATTTACTTGATTATGTGTGAAAAAAGAGGAAATGGATTTAACATTTAAGTGGAGTGTGAGAATATGGATTTTAATGGTTTGAGCGAAAACGGACTTAATTTAATTCAGGTGGTGTATGCGAAGGCAGATATGCATAGATTTAAATGGTATGTGCATGCAAACGAACATTTGAATTGTTTGAACGAGAAAAAAAATCAAAATAAATTTAAATTTAAACACAAATTACATATTCTTTTATCAATATTTGTCTTCAACCACATTTATTTTATTTGGTGAGGGGGGGGGGATCTTTGCAGAATTGTTTCTTAAATGACATTCTCTTTCACAATATGATACAATTTAGTGACATTTTGCCATCAACTTTTTGGCGAATTTGGGGCTCACAACCAAGGGTGTCGATTTGTATCCGTGGTTGGGGGGGGGGGGGGGATGATAGGTGCCAAAATATTTTCGGCAATGGATCAAAGCAATCAAGAGGTACAAGCGTGTGGCAAGTTGCACCCCTCCCAAGCGCGTAGCCAGGATTTCATTTTAGGGGGCGGTAGTGAGCACGCGAAGTGCGGTCCCTAGGGGGTTGCGTGCAGGGAGGGGGAGTCCCCCTCCCCCCAAGCGAAGCACGGAAGCTTTGACGTTTCACTTAATTGTTAGAGAAAGAAGACGATTCGTTGGACCGTTCTCGACTCTTAATCCTTGTTTGAATCAAGTTCCCCTTCCTCTGCGCGTAGCGCGGAAGCTCTGACGTTTCATTAGATTATTAAAGACAGAAGACGAAACGATGTACCATTCTCAACTCTTAATCCTTGCTTGAATCAAGTTCCCCTTCCTCCGCGCGTAGCGCGGAAGCTCTGACGTTTCATCAGATTATTAAAGAAAGAAGACGATTCGATGTACCATTCTCGACTCTTAATCCTTAATGTTTTAATCAAATTCCCCCCCTTCCCCGCGCGTAGCGCGGAAGCTCTGATGTTTCATTAGATGATTAAAGAAAGAAGACGATCCTATGTACCATTCTCGACTCTTAATCCTTGTCTGAATTCATTTTCGCCCATTCCTGCACGAAGCGCGGAAGCTTTCACATTAGTGAAAGAAGACGATTTGTTGTATCGTGTCCTTCATGAACTCAGTTTCCCCCCTACCGCGCGAAGCGCGGAAGCTTTAACGTTTCAATAAATTATTACTCTTAATCCTTGTCTGTATTCATTTTCGCCCACATATACTACTACTATTACTACCATTGCTATTTCTACGCCACATTCCATGAAGCTTTCACGTTTCATTAAATTATTCGTAAAAGAAGACGTTTCGTTGTATCGTGTACTTTGACGTTTCATTTGATTATTACGCTTAATCCACGTCTGAATTCAGTTTCCCCCTAACAGCTTTGCCCTTTTCACTGAATTATTAGAGAAAGAAGACGATTCGTTGTACTGTTCTCTATATTAATCCTTGTCTGAATTCAGTTTCCCCACTGAAAATAATTTGTGTTACAAATAAGTTGTGACATAATAATCTTTCTCCAAAATTGAAAAATCTTTTAGGATATATCAGGAAATAAAATGAGTGAAAAAAACAAAAATAAAGATACGATGACGTGAATTTTAAAAAGGGTGAACGGAAACAACATAACAACTAGAAAACTTTTTTATAAGTCAAACTAATGTCTGAAAATCTTTCTCCTTGTCTCCGATCTCATAACGAAATCGTCACAGAGTTCATTTATGTTTACACTGTCCAGGATTGTCTGATGTGCATTGCAGATTGCTATTTTTGCGCTTCGCGCTTAATGCCTTGGTCACAAATACCCTTACGGGCTGCTACGAACGCCGTACGAACGATTTTTAGACCATTTCGTAAGATCTTCTTAAGAAGGCCGTACGAAACAAGCGCTCGTAAACCGTTCGTAGACCGTTCGTAAGAACGCAGATTGGTCGATGGTCTTGTCCAAGATTTTTTTTAACATCGTACGAAACCCTCTCTTCGTAAGGCGGCCGTACGAACGCCGTAATTACATCGTAAGAACCACGCAAGATCTACGTACATTTCTTAGGGTCGAGGGACAATTCTAGAAGCTTCAAATTATTACGATGACCGTAAGAACGCCTCAAGTTGTTCAAAGAGGGCTCCTACGGCGTTCGTAAGAACGCCTTACGAGCGGAGATTCTTATGGTATTCGCACGAATGACTCCTGGCGTTCGTTAGACGTTCGTAAGGTGCTCGTAAGGTGTACGTACACAATTTATGCAAATTTTTAGTTTTAACGGTTATAAAGCCTCACTCTGTTCATAGTGTTCGTCGAGGGTGCATCTCCTGTCGAAGAAATATGGGACCAAAGGGGAAATCTGTTAGAGGGAAGAGAGGGAAGGGAAACAAACTTAAGGAAAGAGATGAGGAGGAAGGAGAAAGAGGAGGAGAGCAGCAACAACAATATCAAGCAGAGGCGCCGGAAGTGGAGGGGGAGGGGGAGGGGGGGGGGCAGGGGGGCATTCGCCCCCCTCCAACCCCCCTTTAAAAAAGCAGTAAAGGGACAAAGATGATTTGTATTTTTTAACCAAAAAGAACATACAAAAGAACAAAATCTGAATTGAATCACATATCAATTATATTCGATTCAAAGAAAAGAAAAATTAACAGGGATTAAATGTCGTATACATTCCGCTTGCTCCTACATTTTATCAATGGAGGTTTTTATAATATATGCGATTTGCGCATATCGTGGAAATATTGTAAGAGGATGGGAAAGTGTTTTTTTATTTTTTTTATTATAGTGGTGAGAAGACATAAGCCCCTGAACACTGGCGTACTTATGGGCGGGGAGTATTTCTAATTCGATACCAGTGATTTACAAACGTTGCTGAAATGACATGATTTTCCGGTATTTTTTCTCATTTTTTTTGCAAATCATAACTTTTTATGCGTTTGTTTGAAAACTACTAATTCCCAAAGTAACAGCTAGGCATAAAAATATGCTTATTTAGAAGCCTTCATGTCAGGGCCTGCAGAACGGCGGGGCTCGGGGCTCGAGCCCCCCCCCCCCTCACTTTTGTAAAAAAAGAGGAAAGGAAAGAAAGAGAGAGAACAAAATGTGTGACCTACCAATGTCACAAATGAGATATCAAAATATGCTCATCTGACCGTAATTAGATGCCGAAAACCTTTGAGCTTCCAGGGGCTCTGGCCCCTGAACCCCAACAAGGGCTCTAAGACAGCCCCCTGGATGCTCATCTGACCGTACTTTAATACCCAAAACCTTTGAGCTTCCAGGGGCTCTGCCCCCTGGACCTCACCAAGGGCCCTAAGGTGGGCCCCTGGATGCTCATCTGACCGTAATTGAATACCTAAAACCCCTGAGCTTCCGTGGGCTCTGCTCCCTGGAACCCCCGACAATTAGTGACCTGCCAGTGACACAAATAAGGTATCTAAATATGCTTATCTGACCCCAATTTAATGCCTAAAAACCATGAGCTTCCGGGCGCTTAGTCCCTTGACCCCCGCCGGTGCAAAGCCCCCTGACCCCACGCCAATTTACGCTACGCTCGCTAAACTCTAACCTGATCGTTAATACTCCACTTTGAAAAATGTTCCGTGGGGCCTGCATGTAACATGTAGGCCTGCCTAGGAGTGGTGGTGATGCACATTTTCCTTCTGCCCCCCCCCCCCTCCTCCAAACGATTTTGCTCATTACGCCACTGGCCCTGGAAGGTGAGCCCCCTGGAATTTTTGCCACCTCAATCCAAAACTGCTTTCGGCGCGCTTGATATCAAGAATGATGGCCATATCGGAAGCGACCGGGAGGAGGCGGTGGAAGACAGGCGCGGATCCAGGGGGGCCGAGCGGGCCTTTGCCCCCCCCCCCCCCCCGCAAAAAAAAAAAAAAAAAAAAAAAAAAAAAGAGAGAGAGAGAAGGAAAGAAGTGAAAGGGAAAGAGGAGAGAAAGGGAAAAAAGAAGAGGAAGAAGAAAAGAAAAGAGGGAAGAAGTAGATCGGGGGGGGGGGGGGCAAAAGGACTTGCCTCCCAGGCTGTTGCCCCCCCCCCCAATCAAAAAATAAAAGAGAAGCAAGGAAAGGGAAAGAAAAAAAGGAAAAGAGGAGATACAAGAAAGGAAAAAAGAGGAAGAAGAAAAGAAAAAAAAAAGGGGATAACCACACAACAAATCATCTTCTTTCTCTAATGATTTAATGAAACGTAAGCTTCCGCTTAGCGCGGGAGGAAGAAAACTCAATTCAGACGAGGATTATTTTTTGGGAACGGTACAGCAAATCGTCTTCTTTCTCTAATAATTTATTGAAATGTCAAAGCTTCCGCGTTTCGCGGAGGAGGGAGGGGGAAATCGCCCCTCCCTGCACCCACCCACCCACCCCCAATTACGTCACTGCTGGTCACCATTACGAACCAATATTTGGCTCGCATAATTTCAAATTTTGCCCCCCCCCCCCCCCAAGAAATCCTGGATCCGCGCCTGATGTATATATACAGCGGCAACAGTTTTAATATAAAATGTAAGTTCTTCTTACTTAAATCATTGGTCTGGAAACAATTATTTGCCCATTGTTGTGTATTGTATTACATTTTCACTGACAATGAATTCACATTGTAATGCAATTTTCAAGTTTCCCAGGCCTATTTAGGAGAACAGAAGATTGATATTGTTTAGTTGTACGATAACATCGCTCAGTTTGATTTGATTTGATTGGAGAT